TCTCTGTTCAGGGTAGGTCTGTGAGCTCTTATGTGGACTGCCTCCTTAACTCCTCTTGTAAAGAAGTCCTCAAGTTATCTGGCACGTATGACCCGCTACTATGGTCACATGTCTCTGACGTCACGTTCCAAGAGTAGACGGGTCCATTCCATGAACAAGGTTGATGGAGTCAACCGAAAATTTGGGGTAAGTCCCAATTCTATATCTAGTGTTGGAAGTTAAAGTTCAGTCTTTATTTCATAATGATTTGTACCAACACAGATGAACTTTCATGCTAAATTTAATTTGTTGTTTCTCAGATTTTTTCAGAAAAAATATGAAGCGACAGGGCGAAAAAAAAAAACAGGCCAAAGCACCCCATGATAGCCAGAAATGTTACTAAGTATTTGAGCCATGAAGTCAACATACCAGGCTGGTTTATAAGCAAAACAATAGATTTGGACTTTTAATGAAATTAAGTTGCATTGTTACATTAAAAAACTTCATCAACCATCAACTAGGATGAATAGGACTTTCTTCAACTATTGGGGCCAAAATATGTCTTGCATTTTGCAGTTGATTCAGAACCTAAAATCTTTTTTTTTTTTTTGCAAATCAGAAAAAAGTGGACATGGCGAATCTAAAGGGCGACCTAAAGGTGGACAGGGCGAACCTAAAGGTTTATTTGTATATATGTAGAGGGGAGACAGAAATACTATAAGTTGTTCCTTTGTCAGACGTTTATCTACTGTATTTATCTATTTCATTGTGAGCCAACCTTTGTGTTGTGAAAGTTAATTTTCAAGAGAACTCAGTAAATACAGAACAAAACGTGTATGTTACATTCAGTGTGGTGGAATGAAAATTCTCACTTTTGACTTATTTTGTATCTAGCTGACATTTTTAGGAGCATAACTTCATCAAGGTTTTTGATGCAACAATCACTATATTATGCTCTGGGTCAACTCTTCACCTGGATGCTGATATTGATTTTTTAATGTTCTATCTCTTCATTTTCCTAACAACTTTCTACTAGCAGAGCGATTTCTTCCAAAGTACATTAAGATTTTTAAATGCCATCACAGAAGAACTGGCGTGGGCACTGTTAAAATCATTCATTGACTTTTTTATTGTATATTGTTGGCTACAGCATATTATAGAAAAACATGTACCAGTCTGTATTTACATACATGTCATTTTACATTATATGTATATACTAGTATAATAGGGGTGTTCAAAATATCCTATGATCATAGAATGAATGTAAGCTGTGTTTGTTTGTTTTTTTGACTAATTATTCAGTTCAGTATGAGACGACTCTTTAGCCCCCTTCATTATATTATTATCATTAAGGCCATGTTGATTTGATTATATGGATGACATCCTCCTGGAGCCCCAAAACTGATGCGCGCGTGCGAATAAAAAAAAAGTTTTGCAAAAAAAAAAGTTCTTTTCATTATGAAATCTACGTGGTCATGAGGGTTGAGCAAATGGCACAGAATATGGTTTGGCGAATAATCTAGTCTTCAAGTTCATTTCTTTACAATTTCGTCTTTTTTTGTTTGATTTTGGCATTCTACGACATTGTTATAGTTTTTATTAATTTTTTTTGGAACTTATGGTAGATTTTTGCTCATTTTGCAACTGTTTTGTACGATTTACAGTATGGTTGAAAACTTTTTTTTTTTTTGGAAACGGCCGAAAATTCATGCGCGCGCGGATGTCATCCATATAATCAAATCAACATGGCCTAACAAAAAGGTGGTTTCCAAGATGGCCCAGTATGTACAGGGCACATTTATCCACAGAATATGTTAAAATCATTCATTGACTTTTTCATTGTGTATTGTTGGCTACAGCATATTATAGAAATACTAGAGCTGTATATGCATACATGTCATTTTACACTATATATATATAGTACAATAGGGATGATCAAAATTCTATCATTAGGCCACACCAATTTAATTTCTTGGTTAACGGATTCGCCGCTTCATTTTTTTCTGATTTGCAAATAAAAATAAAAATCCAGAATCAACTGCAAAATGCTCATATTTTGCCCTGAACAGTTGAAAACAGACCTTTTCATCATAGTTGTTACAGTTATTCCATCTTTCAATGCAATAGTATCATTAAAAGTTCAAAATTCATTGTTTAAATTTTGAACCAGCCTGGTGTGTTGACTTCATGGCTCCTATCCTACCATTTTGGGCCATAGTACGATGCCTAGGCCAGTTTTTATTTTTTTTTTTTTCGCCCGCCCGCTCCATTATTTTTCTAGAAAAATCCGTTAACCAAGAAATTAAATTGGTGTGGCCTTATATAGAATTAATGGTTTCCAAGATGGCCCAGTATGTACAGGGCACATTTATCTACAGATTATGTTAAAATCACTCCTAATGACTTTTTCATTGTATATTGTTGGCTACAGCATATTATAGAAATACTAGAGCTGTATATGCATACATGTCATTTTACACTATATGTATATAGTACAATAGGGATGATCAAAATTCTATCATTATATAGAATTATTGGTTTCCAAGATGGCCCAGTATGTACAGGACACATTTATCCACAGAATATGTTAAAATCATTCATTGACTTTTTCATTGTGTATTGTTGGCTACAGCATATTATAGAAATACTAGAGCTGTATTTGCATACATGTCATTTTACACTATATATATATATTTATATCATACCCGGGCCGCGATAACGTTCGATAACGGGTTCCAGACCGGGCCATACTTTACGGTACGGCCCGGTCCGGAACCCGTTATCGAACGCTTCCATGGCTTCCATAAAACGATTCGAACGCGTTTCGCCCTAACCGCGTGTGCCCCTTTCGAAAATTCGAATACAGAATCCGGATGTTGGAACTGATGTTGTTGCATTTGAGGGTTTAGGAGCACCAACTTTTGGCTCATATTGCATTGAAAGGCGCGTTTTCTTGGGTGGGTATGATATAAATAAAATACAACACAGTGTATTCCGCATCGCCCTCGGTCCCGGCCCTCCCGCGGATCGGATCTCCCTCCGGCCTGCGGCCGTCGGGCGATCCGACCCGCGGTCGGGCCGATACCTCGGGCGATACGGAATACCCCGTGTTGTATTCTATATGTATAGTACAATAGGGATGATCAAAATTCTATCATTACATAGAATTAATGGTTTCCAAGATGGCCCAGTATGTACAGGACACATTTATCCACAGATTATGTTAAAATCACTCCTAATGACTTTTTCATTGTATATTGTTGGCTACAGCATATTATAGAAATACTAGAGCTGTATTTGCATACATGTCATTTTACACTATATATATATAGTACAATAGGGATGATCAAAATTCTATCATTAGGCCTCACCAATTTAATTTCTTGGTTAACGGATTTTTCTAGAAAAATAATGGAGCGGGCGGGCGAAAAAAAAATAAAAATAAAAACAGGCCTAGGCATCGTATTATGGCCCAAAATAGTACGATAGGAGCCATGAAGTCAACACACCAGGCTGGTTCAAAATTTAAACAATGAATTTTGAACTTTTAATGATACCATTGCATTGAAAGATGGAATAACTGTAACAACTAGGATGAAAAGGACTGTTTTCAACTGTTTAGGGCAAAATATGAGCATTTTGCAGTTGATTCTGAATTTTTATTTTTATTTGCAAATCACAAAAAAATGAAGCGGGCGCATCCGTTAACCAAGAAATTAAATTGGTGTGGCCTTATATAGAATTAATGTAAGTTGTATTTTTTTTACTCTAATTATTCACTTCAATACAAGACAACTGTTTAGCCCTTTCATAATATGCAATGTCATGTGGTTTCCAAGATGGCCCAGTATTATATTCAGTGTGGTGGAATAAAAAATTGTTGTTGTACATGTTTTGTTTCAGTTTAACTTCTTGCTTGCTCAATGTTCTTTTAGGAAAGTGACTACACAACGGTCACAATAAGAGGCTCTGGGTCAACTTTTGATTAAAATTTTGGATTTTTTCTGCAATCTCTTCCTTTTCCTATTTCAACTTCCACTTTTTACAGTAGAGTAATTCTGTTCAAACAAGCTCATTTTTTTTATAAAAGATGACTTCAATCTACAACCATAGAGAAGTGAAAATAAATTTGAGACCAAGGATGTTTAACAGAGACACCTTCAAGTTGTTAAAATCAATAGGTATAGGTACCTTTTGAATAGTTGTAAACTTACAGACTAAAAACAACTAGACTTAGAAAAACTTTAACGCCAAAAGAATGTGAAAAAATTAGTTGCTTCCAGCATATGTTTTTATATGTCTAAGGCCACACCAAGTTAATTTGTTGAAATGTCAGAGAACCAAGGAAATAAGTGGGTGTGGGCTAATGGTGAAAACAAAGATGAATAAGCATCCAAGCAACTCAACTTTGGCAAGATCAGATGAGATGAAAGATAGAAGTTCAATGTGTGCACGCCAAGGACAGTTTTTCATCTGCTTATTAGTCTACCAGTTGGGAGAATCACTCCTGAGTTGGCAGCACCACACCTCAAATTCACCCAGCGCCAACCGGACAAAACCCGTTTTTCCTGACCAAAGACAAATCCAGTTCTGTCTGTAAATGCAGCATTCAAGGCTTTACTTCACAATATAAGTGTTATGTAGATTCTCTGATACAAGCGAATTTGCAGACAGAAAAAAAATACACCCTCCCAAGTACAAGTTCACAACTTTTTGCTCACTGCAGATTTATTTCTGCAAATTGTAGGTATGACATGATATTTCAGCCTTCAGGTATTCAACAAAATTTGATTTATTGAGACTGACATATATATACTACTATAGCAGGTGACCAGGAGCAAATAGGAGTAAAGTGGTTTTTCCAAGCAAAGGCACTGGGGACTGCCATGGATTTGTACAGACAACCTTCAGATTCTGAGTCAAACCTAACCACAAGACCATCTTGCCACTAAGGCCACACCGACTTAATTTTATGGATGACATCCTCTGAACACCCCCAAACTAGTGCGCGCGGGCGAAAAAAAGAAAAATCCGGCCCAAAATAAAAATACTACTAAACCGCAGGAATACAAAGCCGGTATTGTGAATTTGGCACATTACATCGCGATGTATACGACAGGTCAGCACATGCTGGCTTTTTGCAGAATTTATGAATGGACACTGTACTGAGTTCTTGATTCATGGAGCTTCGGTGGCCTGGGTGCCGTCCTCCAGAGTTACCACCGGCGTCGTTGTCGCATGGACTACCCAAGCCTTAAGCCAGGCCAGAGACTCGGAAGACGTGATTCTTTTTTTTTTGTTTTTTTTGAGATCAGGCGAAAATCAATGCGCGCGCGGATGTCATCCATAAAATTAAATCGGTGTGGCCTAAATGTACAAATAACCTCTTGTTCTCATTAAAATACAGACATCAAACGTGAACATGGATTTAGGTCAAATATAACTCCTATGTGTGCGGGACTGGTAAAAACCGATTAATCACCTTTTGCAAATAGGATTTTGGGTTAAAAGACACCAAAACTGAAATTACTGTATTTGTCCTTTAACACTATGCTGGTGTTTGTCATCCCTTGAAGTAAACACCAATTACAAGAGAATATGCACCCGATTGAGCCAATCCTCCCTTGGGTATGATCCTGCGCACGCAATGTTCACCAAGTTTCGCGTGACAGATATAGCGGACCGCCATTTCAGCACCAAGGACATCGTCCGCGGGCGCACTGCCACGTCACTCCAGCCACAGCTGAGAGCTCTATGGGGGGCAGGAACGGGGGTTGAGGGTGAGCATGGGGGTGGCTGACATCCTACCAACCCCCCAAAAGCCCCCAAAAGTATGAAACACATGACAAATTGTCACGGCGAAGAATTGGACCTGATTTACAATTGCAGAAGTCTGTAAAAAAGATTTGTACAACATTCAGAATACATTTACACCCCTGAAGAATCGTTAAAATTCTCCAGTATTACATTATAAGGAAAACCCGCATCTAGCAGCGTCAAAAATTAAATCAATCGCTAGGGGTCCTAATATTATATTCCCTTTGCACTAAAATGTATACATCTGTCCTATACAAAAAAACATCACACATCACACAAACATTCAACAGTCATTGGTGGGCAATTTTATTTCTGTCACATTGCTACATTGCTAGCATAAATTCCTGTAAAATATCTGTGAAAAAATAGATGTTAAAAAGCAATTGAAAAGCTGTCTGATATCTGGTCTGCATGTTTGATGTACAATATCAATACAAGTCGTTCAATATGTGCACAATGTTTGTTACCAAGCGTTTATAGAGTATTTGTCATCGAGTAGCATGACTAAATTGCCCTCCTAAGCTTGCAAATTGCAACTTGCAATACAAGTACATTCTTAAAACTTCTTAAAACTTGTACATGTACAGCAAAAAAGTAGGCTAAATAAAACTTGTACAGATAAATAATAAGAAACAGAATACACACTATCCATACCAAACTTCTAATCTAGTCACTGTATATACATTGGTTTATCAATATGAGGAAATGGGATAAGTGTATCATTTTGCCAATAATTCTACCCTAGATTTTAATTCATGGTGAGTCTTTCTTTACGTATTGGAACTAAGGCTGAAACTTTGTAACCATGGATTCTAACAACATATTATGAACTTTCATTCAAATTTCAGCTGGTTTTGTTTTCTTCTGAGGCCGCCACACGTTTCAGGTGCTTCTTACTCTTCAGATGAGACTGGTAGCAGTATCTGTCATGGAACAGTTTCTGGCATGTTCGACACCCAAACTTGTACTCCCGATTATCATCATGCACCTTCGCATGTTGCTTGAGGTACGACTGGTTAAGAAACGACTTGCTGCAAACCTGGCAAGTGTAAATCTTTTCGCGTTCTGTGTGCACCAGTTTGTGTGCTTTCAGATTTCCTGGAGACCTAAACTTCTTACCACAATCTTCACATGTGTGAGGGTTTTGAGGGCCATGCATGTACTTCATATGACTCTGTAGATACTTTGGCAAAGGAAAGTTTGCATGGCATATCTCACACTGGTAGGGTTTTCCCTCAACGTGAGTTTTACTGTGCCCTTTCAAGTGAGCCTTGGTACGGAACTGTTTTTTGCAGATTTCGCAGGTGTGGTCCTTTTTGTCACTGTGGGTAGTGATGTGGGTTTTCAAACTGGCCAACACGTAGAACCCTTTCTGGCAGTGTTCGCACTTGTACGGTCTCTCGCCAGTGTGTTGCCTCACGTGAACTTTCAAGGAAGACTCCTGGTTGAACCTCTTGTCACAGAATGAACACGGAAATGGTCTTTCATCAGCATGTATGACAATGTGCCTTGCAAGTGCATGTTTATTCTGACAGACTCTACCACACGTATCACAGGTGAAAGTTTCCTCTTCCCTATGAGACCTACTATGCTCCTTCAAACTTTTCTCATCCTCAAATGTTTCTCTGCAAGTTTTGCACTCGTAGGTGATGATGTCAGCATGTCCGTCCATGTGTTTTTCTAGTCCACTCTTGTACACAAAGGATTTTTCACATCTGTCACACTTGAAACTGCGGTTGGAGTGAGCTCGCATGTGTCTCTCCAGGGATTTTTGGACAGAGAAGGATTTTGAGCACGCCTTGCAGGTCAAATCTTCTTTAATACCGTTGTCAGGTTCTTGATCCTTCTGTGTATCTTCATCTGGTTCTTGTTGAATGTCTTCAGACATGGTGTTTTCCTTAAACTCGTTTTCTGTCCCCTTCTCCATTTCTCTTCAGAGTATTAAATCTGTGCCTATTGGAAGTGATAGACAATAAGCAATCTACAGATTTCTAACATATTATAATGTATTTTTTTAAGTTTCTTTAGATTCAACAGTCCGCACAGCAATTATTTGGCAACAGGGATCCATGGTAGTGCGCAGTAAAAAGGTCCCAAAACGAAAGGGTTTTGAGAATTCAGATTTGAGTTCATAAAATTCTCATTTGTCACAATTGGTTGAAAAGTGTAAGAAGTGGTGTGTTTGGGGTGATTTTGGACCCGAGGCTTACTTCCGGGTGTTCTTTTGTGTTGTGGGTGGTGGGTCCATTTGATCCAGATTGACCTTGCCTTGCGCAAGATGAAAATCTCAGTGTTACTACTGTTAGGATTTTTGAGAAATTTTTTTGACTAACGTTTATACTCTGCAGCTCTGTCTTAAGATATCAGTCAACTAGGTGTGTAAATAGGTTTTATTCCACGTGAAAATGACCAATTTTTCGCATCATTTTCCGTTTGCAAATCCTCTTTTCTCTCAAATTTAATTAAAATTTAATTGAGACCCAAAATAAACGAGTGTGTCCCCTTTATATCGCAGGGGTACCCATGAATGGTTCCGGGTAACGAAAAAAATATATATGACATATGATTAAGTAAATAGTATGCAGCTATGATATATTAACTAATAATATACTCCATATATCGATAAGATATCGTTTAAATGCTCTCCTTTGTGAAGACTTGGTCAGTGCTTGGTCAGTGCCATGCATGCCACGCCCCCCTCCCCCTTCAAAAACTATATTCAGTATGGTCACGTATCACGTTACACCATTTTACGGGAAATACCTTTGATACTGCAGCTACCGGTGCACCAATCTCTGGTCTTTGTGCGCCCTGCAACCTGTGTCTGACGAAAAACTTGAAAAGCCGCTATTTCTGAGGCGGAAACTTCAGACTTCTCCCTAGCCTAGCCCACTCGAGGAGATGAAGTTTTGAGACCGGAAGTAAATACTGTAAGGTGAAAGGTCACCAATTATGTATCAAGGGGTCAAGAGCACAGTGTAGATCAGATGCTTATGCATAGAAAATACAACACGAGACACAGTGTATCCGTCCAGCATACAATTCCAAAATAAACTACGTGACTCACTCTCCACGAAAATTCATCAACACGAAGTAGTCAACTTTTGGGCCAGAATACTGTAAACCAGTGATCATTGGGGGCCAGACAAAGTACCTGATTACCCTATAATGTTAAACTACACGAGATTGTCGAGTATAGCTATGCAGGCTAGGACTTGTGCACATGTAGGCAACTTGACGAGAGTATGAAGACGATTGGTATTGAGGCCTGGTTCAAAAATCCATGTCTTCGAAAATGCGGATGACCAAGTGCAATACCACTAGTGTTCGCTACGTGCGTTGTTGTATGTGGGAGAAATTTCGCGTACTGTACCAGTTTCAGTTTTGGCAGACAGAATATCTACCAAATGTTTAGATGTTGTTGACACACGTAAATCTTTTGATAAGGTCTCTATTCAAGAGATGTGTATTTTGCTTTCCAGTTGATAGTGCAGGTGGCGTCGCAAAGAATCTTGCAACTAGCAAAATGCTGACAATTTTTTTAACATTTAAAAGTAGAGTAGAGTCTACGGTCGGGTACAAGACGCATGAAGACGTCCGAATGGTATGATACGGTTTGTGTGGATGGTCTAATGATCTGTAGTTGTCCTTGACTGGATGGCTCTCCTTGAACTGATCAAACGTAAATTCGACCTAAATTCTTCTGGACCTAGAAAAGTCATGTTACTGCTATAGGGATTTTGATAGAATTGTTCGGAATTCGTTAAAAAAACGGAACGGCCTAAAACACCTGTACATGACGCATCTTACTATAGCTTTATGTGGATGATTAGACAACTGATTAATTCTGAACCAGACGTAAAACGTTACTAGTATTCGCCGCTGACTGTACAACAATTGAACAATATGAATTTTTTTTTTCTCACTGCGGGGAAACTATCCATCTTTTCCCGCCAAGACGTCATTCATTGTTAGTGATCTCACGAACGCAAACTTGGACGGCTTCTGCAAGTGTTCTGTAATCGAAAACGACATCAGTGTTAACTCGATTAACATTCTTGGCAACCGTTTTGAAGTGCGCTGGGCCTTGTTACATGTTGTTATTTCTTTGCTCCGTAAACATCGGCCTCTTTAGCAATCAAATCACCGCCGACGCCTTGGCAACTTCCCCCGTAACTTCTACTGTTACCGCCTAACTCCCTGTCCCAAGGCAAAACATTAAACATGACAAGAGGTCTACGACGGTGGAAATTGCCCCAAGATGTTGCAGAAGAATTGAAAGCACACAGGCGTGTAATTGGCGAGTTAAAGAACGATCACGGAAACCCGATCCCGTTGATTCACCGCAGACGGTGCGGAAGGGTCTCGGCGCACGTGTTGATGTGTCCCGAAGACATCTGTGTGACGTGACGGTGGGAGCTCGACGGGCCCGACCCCCCGCGAGGAGCGCCACTGCCCCATGCTGCTGACAAAAGTCAACTCTGACCTGGCGGGCTGTTAGAATTAGTCGGCACGGGTTCTCACGACTGGAGAGTCGCCATGTGTCACACATTGAACTTTTGGAACTTTAAACCACTAGAATTACGACTTTTATGTCGAACAACAAAGTACCGACAAAATGTACGTAAACAATACATTGAACCTTAAAATGCAATCTCACCAAAGAGATGCAAAAGCCAAAATCCAAAGTGCTGCAGATTGTAGAATAATGCCATAAATTTGTGCATATACAATATCCAAGTAGTTACCATATTTTCATATTTAAAAAAGAAAAGGAAATTTAAAAAAAGTGCAAAGTATCGATAGCGCGAAAGGACAGCTTACACTGACTAACTTAGCAACAGCGACAAAAACACCAACATTTCGTGAAAACTACCATCATGACTACGAGCTTCGATGAACGTGAGAGGTGACAAAAATTCTTTGCGTTCTGTCACACCTTATAAGTTTGTCACTGGCAACGTTTCAACAGAGTATACATTAGGCCATGTTGATTTGATTATATGGATGACATCCTCCGGAAGCCCCAAAACTGATGCGTGCGTGCGAATAAAAAAAAAGTTTTGCAAAAAAAAAAGTTCTTTTCATTATGAAATCTACGTGGTCATGAGGGTTGAGCAAATGGCACAGAATATGGTTTGGCGAAGAATCTAGTCTTCAAGTTCATTTCTTTACAATTTCGTCTTTTTTCGTTTGATTTTGGCATTCTACGACATTGGTATAGTTTTTATTAATTTTTTTTGTAACTTATGGTATATTTTTGCTCATTTTGCAACTGTTTTGTATGATTTACAGTATGGTTGAAAACTTTTTTTTTTTGGAAACGGCCGAAAATTCATGCGCGCGTGGATGTCATCCATATAATCAAATCAACATGGCCTTACTTATAAACCAATTCGAAACATTACACCCTCATTGAGCCTACCCTGGACGTATATCAGTACTGCAGATCTATAACTACAGTTTTTCATTTACTTCAGAGCATTGCAATCCCCTCCAGTATTCCATCGCATTACGTTTCGCCTTATCTTCTCATTCAACTGCTGTTTTGTATCAAGGTCTAAGACGCCTTTAGCAATGACCGCTAATATATGACCTCGGGAAGACCCTTAGGCGCTGCATAGTAGTTTGATATTGCCCATTTGATGTCAACGCTTTATAATAGTGGCAGCGTTCCATGACTGTAGTCTCCACCAGACTCCTTTGCAGGCTGAATAAATAGTAGAAATCAGCCTAAAAAGAATGTAGCTGGCCAGGGGAGTTGGCCAGTAAGAGAGGGTCCAGTTTGTTGGCTGGCTAACTCCCCTGGCCAGGTACATTCTTTTTAGGGCGATTTTTACCATCATCTATTCAGCCTGCAAAGGAGTCTGGTGGAGACTACCAAGTCTGTGCCATACTAGCCACTGCCAGGCTTCGGAAGGCGACTGAAAAGAGTAGAAATTGCCGGGTGCGGAAAACTGTTCTGCCCCGGCATGTTATCTCTCTATTTGGCCAATTTTACTCTTTTCAGCCGCATCCCAAAGCCTGGTAGAGGCTAGTGTCATACCGCAAGGCCGACGCCTATCGTATGGTGAAGTCACAGGTGTGTTATCGCGTAGTGATATCGTTTTATCACAGGGCGGGGCTTATCAGATAGGGCATCGGGCGGCACGTGGCTGATTTTTCACCCGGCCTTGTGGTTATATGTGGGTGTTAAGTAATAAGAGAGATGGGGGGGGGGGTGATAGAAGACTTCAGTCGATAATTTCTTCTTATGATCGTTGAAGCCAACAACTGTTAGCATTCTGTGTTCCTGCACTAATGCTGAGGCCACATTTCCCAATTTCAACAATTTATATCACTAATATACGCAAATAGTTCCCATCATTTTTTTTAACTTTTTTTGTGCTTTGTTGTCTTTTATATCATACTTTTAGTTGCATAAGACTGCTAGCAAGATTGTGACACACACAGACCCATAGGATCTTTATACAGTACATAGCATGGCTCTCTAGCTGAGTCTATATCTAGTCAGAAATATCAAGTTGAAAAGTGAATCATATATGACCATATATAAACGAACCGTCTTTTGTTGTGGGTCCCACAGATGTTTTGCCGCGCTTGCCGAGAGCGATCTGAAATAGCATAACTTCACTTTCCAAACTACAACACAGCATCAAAGCCCGTTTTACAAGAGTTGTAGTGCGGACGTTCTTGTTATCATAGAAAAAAAAACACCTGTTTGAAGAAGCACAAAATGGTGAGTTCCCAATCATAACACCATATGAAAGTCCTTTCAAGCCAGCTGAATCGTTTCCTGGTCTGTTGCCATACAGATGGCCGTTATCCTGGGAACGGGAGTGGTAGAAAGTTGGCCGGAAAATTAATGACCACCTTGCCCTGAAGGGGGCAGGCAATATAAACAACAAGAAGGATGCTTGCAGTTACAACTTTTCATAATGTATTCTTTACAGAATGTAAGAACAAAAGTCAGGAATGAAAGATGCCAAGTTGCGTGAATGGCTGAAGTGCGTTGTTGTTGATAGTGTTTTGGTTTGTTGCACCGGTGTGTTTGATTTGTGTCCTCGGGCGCATGTTGCGATGTCCCCCCAGGACGTTTCTGTGTTGTACGTGCCCTCAGCTGGCGGGCAGACCGGCGGGATGTCCTGTGGGGCTGGGCGGGTCATGTTACCTCGGCTTGCGCGGTACGACTCATGCCCATATATGCGTGTGGGGTAGCGTACGCAGATGCCAGTTCTCTATATGCAACCGTGCAGTGTGGAGTGTTCCGGAGCTGTGGTCTACAGTCCATGCTGACGGTGTTATCTTGTACACTTCAGATTTAGAGACACCGCGTTTTTCACCGCAGTACGTCATTGTTACCTGCGTCTTTACCTGTATGGAGGCAGCCATGTACATGAGCTCGGCACCTCCACCGTCACTGCACCACTACCCCTACGGGCACACGTCTCACTCAGGCCCGCAGGCGTCGCGGTACCCTCCGGTACCCACCACCGCCAGCGGGCTCCACGCTCTCGCCGAGGCCAGCCACGTATCTATGTACTCTTCCCAAGCGGTGAACTGGGCCCAACGCCCCGACCAGGTCTCCGTCCACACCTCGGGCATGCCCGAAAACCTGTATTTCGGCCAAGAACAGGACTTGTCCTGCAACAAGACCCTGGAGGAGCGAACCAACATGGCAGTGCCCACGTCTTGTGTTCTGAACTCGAACGTTGTGAACGACGACGACAGGCTGTCTTGCTCTAGCGTGTCTCCTACAAATAACAGAGAAAACTCAGGTGAGAAAAAAATATTTTTTGTCTTCCAGATTGTGAAGATAGACCCCTAAGTTCCAGTCATGGTCAGTGCCTGCAGTACATTTTACACTCTCAGTTTCTGTCAGTACAGCAAATTTGTTAAATACGAACTAGAACTGCACTGTCATAACTTTCAGAATTTGTTGTACAATGTACACTATATACAACTATATCCTGCACCGCGATTACGTTTTGAAAATGATTTTTACAAGTTATTTATGCTTGTCTGATGTTGATTTCGAATTCGGCCAGTGACATCGGGTAAACTACACTGGCCCGTCAAAAAATATCAGTCACTGTCAACAAATTATGATAAAGCCTTGTCATTCGGATTATGACACGCAAAAGGAAGAGAAACCGTGAAAACTGAAAGTTGAAACGAAATCACATGTCTTGCCATCACTCAGCAACAATATATAAACTTCCTTGTCGTACGTAGTTCATCCCACGGTCGTGTGTGAATCGCGCCCCGCCCGTTTAGCGTGTACTTGAGACCGCTTGGCACGGGTGTGTCTGACCACAAAAGTGTCAGTCCGTACAGCTGAAGTCGTGACTGTAAAACGGTGCCGGGGTCTGCCCCCAAGTTCCGCCAGTTGTGACCGCGTTTCACGGGTTGACACCTCCCTAATGCAAGACTAAACAAACCCGTGGATACCGGGTAACTCCTCAGTTTTCTGAACTTTCGGTCCATCTATATTCCTTGACATTATTTTATATCAACAAAATATTTAGCTCTCTCAACAAAAACGAAGTAGCCTAGCCAGTGAAAAACAGACAATACTTGAGTTAGATCTACTGCTTTCACTCTACTTTCATGACATTTTTGGGTTGTATGTGGCCCTTAACGGCACAAACTAAGTGAAACGATTATTGTGGCAGTTTTCCCGGCAATTTTGATCTAGCCTCGTTCAACACAAGTTGCCACACATCGCCCGATGCATCTTTTCAGCTATCATATATATAATCTAAATTATAAGACAAGACAAAAGCTTTTGAAAAGAGAATGGAACATTTGAACCGAATGTCATGAACTATGCACTTGTGTTTCGTCATGTTCAGATCAGATACAATTTTTTATCCGTCGTAACTTTTCGCGAAACTGTTCAAGCAAATATCAAGATATATATATATGTCTATATGAATTTGATTATCAGTATATTGCAACAATCAAGATTGCTTTGAAGACGCGATTTTGCGGAGATCTGTTGTGTGGCTGATTGAAGTTTGGTAAACCATGTGAGAAGTCCGCAGTGTTCTCTCCGGGACCACTTCAGCGCTTCATTTGAACAACTCTGACCCCTGCCTTACCCCTCATTTCGGTTTAATTACAAAATACGTGGGCGATCTTCCCCCAAACACAGTCACAGCGGATATACCCACATCTGCGCATTACCACGCTCTACTGACACCGGCGGGTCCCTCCACACTAGCGGCGGGCTTTTATTTTCTCCACTGTGTCCAAACAACATTTCTACAACAAGACCCCGAGTGACGTTTAGAGATACACGGGGAGGAGCACTGCCGAATTCTTGGCGATAGGAAATGGAGGGAAACATCGGCGGGCTTGAAGAAAGAAGAGACGGAAAATGAATGTTGCTAAAGAGGGATATTAGAAATGTTTTTTGAAGAAGAAATATCGGAAACGACGCGATGTCAAGTTGGCTTAGATATCTTTGTACTGGCAAGGCTCCTTGGTACTATGTATGTTTCGTATCCCATATTTTTGTTCTATCTGTTCAGTAACTTTTTTGCCAAACGATTCTCAAAGATTGATCATTCGGTCACATGACGTTTTGTTCGTACGTACGTACGTCGCTTTGTACTTCTTCAACGTGATATGATGAACATGATAATTAAAATACAGTTTCTAAAGACGGTGTCGTAACGCACAGCTGCGCTAACGCCCCATCTACACTTCATTCTAAAAGAAACATCAACTTGAGCGGCGTGGCTTTGTTCCTGTCGTTATTGGGTCTTAGTGATCTCTCATGACCAATGAAGAAGACTCTTGTATATTTGTCTTGCCGCGGCCTAGTTTCTGTAACAGACCGCGGGAACGGTTCTAACCGGAAACGCGGGACGGCGACCCACAGGTTCGGTGTATATTTGTCAAGGCAAATGAATGGGTATCTGTGTGTGGGACACCTTGTGAGGGAGGGCGGGTCTCTTGTGGGGGAGGGGGGCGGTGTCTCTACTTTCATCATGTCAAGTCGTCCTGTGTACATCAAACATGCTGCAGAAATTTCCCTAGCTCCCCGAAGTAATAATAATGAGATAGAGCACGGTTTGGGGCTGAATACGTGGATATAGAACTGCCCCGCCCATCAAGGGGATTTCATGTGCTCTAATATAGTGAGTTGATTTAAATGAACTTGAGACAGGAAAATATTGTAATTATACCTAGAACTACTTAGCTCGTAAGTTTAAGTGTTATTGCTGTTAATTCATGACCTGTACGTAGCTTAAGCTTGTAAGAGCACAAACGTACAATAAAGGTCATTCATTCATTATTTCTTTGAATCATTCAATAATTCAAGCTGACGTTCGTGGAACGGTACATTACTTCTTCCGCTTTTGAACTTCAAGTACTGTTTGCTCGTCATCGAATAGATCTCTTTGCCAAAAGATGTTGGGGAATGCGGAAATAAATGTCAGTGAATGAAATATTCCCACTGGCAGAGCAGATAGAAATCTTGACTTGTCCAAGAAAGTTAAAAGAAACAGATGAACACCAATGACTTGAACGAATTGAGAAACATTTTTACCCAAATTGACACAAAACAACCCCTGAATAGGATATGAGCTCAACAACATGAAAAAAAAAATGAAAAAAATTTTGTTACTTCAACCGATTAATTCTTCTAGCGAAATATACTATCTGTAAATATAAGTTTGGAAAATATATGGGAAGCATTGTTGCTCTATTTGACTATGAATGCACTTTACGAGGCTTGCTGTAACTTATTCTATAAGCTAATAAAGTGCCGTGACACGGACACAGAAATTATTTAAAAAAAAAAACCTGAATAAACGCCTTCCTTTGCCACAGACGATATAGCTACTCTCAAAGCAGAGATTTATTTTTTGCGTGTTTTTAGGCTTTTTTAAATCTTTTTATTTTAAATTTTATCGGGCTTCCTTTTTTGCACTGTTATCTTTTTTGGTGTTGATGCAAAACAATATACCAGTGAAATGAAAGCCTGATAAAAAAAGCCTAAATCGCGTCAAAAATAAGCCAAAAGAAAAACCCCTGCTTGGAGAGTAGATACAGCCAGTATAGACAGTTTTAGACACTAAATTGGAGAAGTTGATTTAGACATCAACCAATCAGGATGAACCTTTGGAACAATGAGTAAATACCTCGTGTCTAATGTCTGAGGTAATGCCGACTCCACACATTCACGATATTGCTTATCAAGACATCGGCCCTGGGCAAAATCACAGTGTCACGACAAGTGTGACTAATACCTACACTAACAAGAAAACCGTCTTTTATCTTGTGTTCATCTCAGAAAGGGAAGAGATCAATTCAGAATGCAGTTTACCATATAGTTGTATAGAGTTTCGACTTACGCTATGTAATCAATAAAATGATAAGATTTTGCTAGCTAATGATGATTCTATTTCTGTGTCTTTCTTTCTTTCTTTCTTTCTTTCTTTCTTTCTTTCTTTCTTTCTTTCTTTCTTTCTTTCTAACGTCAAAGGAGTAATGACACCACCTAGGTCCGGCAACCACCTAGGTCCTCCTCCCTCAAGCATGTCCAATAATGTCTTCAGACCGTTCATTGTTATGACTCCCATCTTAAGCTGTGTCATAAGTCTTCTGCTATTCTCACGAAGGTACACTCGTCCTCCCTCTCCTCTCTTGATTCCCTTCTCTTCAAGTCTCGTCATTGACCAAATAGTTGGACCGTTGTGCCTTGTTGTATTTCTGGTTTGGGGAACACAGATCATATCGCTGACGTGCCATAACCAGAAGTCACCAGGATGGTAGAAATAGGAAGTGTATTGTTCTGAGAACCATTGAACTGAAGGATACGTTTCTACTTAAATCTATCGTATTCATGTTACCATTTCTCTATGGTTATACGTAGTTAAAATGTAGGTTGGAGCTTGCGCCCGAGGACTTTTGGGTCTTCTCAAAGCACATGTTGTATTTCATATACATATAAATGTGGACTTTGGGTTTTTGTCAGAAAGTGTCTTATTGTAGACAATAATTTAAGCACATTTTTGACACCGCGATTATGTCATAGTTACGCCCATTTTTAGAAAAATCGAATTTTCCAGGCTATAGCTAGGGCTTTCAAGCCACATGAGAAACCACCAGAGGCGCCAAGATAGTCTATCGTAGACTGAAATGCCAAAGAGAAGAAAGAGAGAGCTAGGGCTTCATGTAAAAATCCGTGATATTTCTCAGAAATAGTAACAGAGATAGTAAAATAACTCCGAGTTTGGATTTTCTCATATTCCTAAATGACGAAGCTGGCGGTATCAAAACTGCTTGTCATTGTTAGAGTAGTTAGTAGTAGTAGTTATCAACCAAGAATTGTGTTCAAAAACTCCAAGCACAGTTGGGGCATCATTACTAGAAAGCTTTCAGCAAATATTGAGTGTAACAAGTCGTTCGGTGTAGTATAGCTAGCTGCCTGCGAAGCTGGTGTATTACGTACGCCGAAAAGCGATTATACCGACTATACAGATACAGATACAGATAGTATAGCCGTGCCTTCAGTTCTGTTGCTTTCTGGGCTTGTCCAAACAATTGTATGAATCATACTTAACACTTAGAAATAAGATAAGAGACTGGATATGACGGGTGTAAAGATGACCAAGCGATTTTGTTCTTACCTCACGCGACAAGACTTCGCCCTGAGGCTTTGGGAACTGGCGGTGTGCCACGGACTTGTCATCGGTTTGAGACAGGATAGGAACTGCTGGTGTATACACCTAAACCGTAATGCACTTCTCAAAAACGCACAGGGCATGTGTTTCGGGACAGTGTATTTGTTTTAAATCGCTCTCGTTTTGTAGAGGCACCACAAATGATACCGGTGTCGGGAAAAGTGTCACAATTCAAGACAATAATTCATATTTTGTATAACCGGTCACAAGACTACAGGCCTTTTCCAAAAGGACCTGAGGTAAACCCAGACGGGTGGAGACCTTTAAAACGCCATATGGCACAGTCAATATAGGAATGCCAATATTCCTGAACTATTTGAACTTGTTGTAACAGACACCTATACATGTTTTCCCTTGACTTTGATTTGTTCAGATACAAACGTCGTAGGCAGTAAAACATGTGACCAAGTGTCGACGGAAAGTTCGATTCCAGAACGTTCCAACAGAATATTCATAGCAACTGTTAGGATGTATTAGCAGTTTTTTTAACGGCTACAGTCCAGTAAAATTCTAATTTTTCTTGTGATTAGGGAATGGGGCATGAATGAGTGAGTAAAGCAAAAGAATTATTCGGATGTCAACCCGAAGAAACCGTTCAGACATTTCCTTCTGTGGAGCGCATCTAAGAAGAACGGGTAGCGTGTACTTGGCAGATTTACTGGCTCCGTCGAAACATGGGACTGCATGTCTGACAACCGCCTTGTCAGGGCACACCTCAGGGGAGCGCCTCCGTGTTTTCCCAGGCTCAAGGTACCCGCTCATCTGCCAGGAAAGCCACGTTTGTCACGCCGAGAAGCATGACTCAAACCCCGCAGGGGTCACAAAGCACGGGCGGTAACACTCCTGGCCGTGTAGCGGCGGCATTCTGATACACCTTCGGGTTCGGGCAACGCAGCTGGAAGCTTTGGCCACAAACCAGAAGGAAAAGTCGGCAGTGTTAGGTTTTAACCGTTGGGTGATATAACTTGTGGTTGGAGAGGACCTAACATCTACCATCGATGTTGTTACAGCTTGGAGGTTTTCGTCAATATTCCCACAACTAGGGAGGTCAAAATGACTGGCTTCTTGATGTTCTTCCAAGACGAGAAGTCCATAGTCTTGGGTGATATAAAATGTGGTCTGATGGACTGAACGAACAGTAATGTCGATGTTGTTACAGCTTGTAGGTTTCTGTCAATATTCCACAACTAAGGAGTTTCAAAACGGCTAGCCTCAACATCCCACATCCTGAACTTTAGGACTCAGCAGCAAAACTTAAAAGCCAGCAGTGTTGTTAATCTGTAGACAGACAATTTAACCTTCATCAGGGGTGCCAAAGAATTTATCAGAATTTTACGGAATTCATACGATCCTTACTAGTAAACATACGAAGTTTACGGAATACATATAATCCTTACTAGAAACATACGAATTTTACGGAATACATACGATCCATTACGCGGAATACATCCGATCCTTATGCTTAGGTCACGATTTAAAAAAGGGGCCCGCTCGGCGCGTGTTCGGCGTGTTTTTTGGCACTACCGAACGAGACCTGGACGGAGACCGGCGGGCTTCCCGACGGCTGCCGTCCTATTTTTGGCCCCGCGCGGTCGCCGAATCGATTTTAACTCAGAGTTAAAATCACTTCGGGCCCCGTTCGGCGAAATACGCCGAAGCGACGCCGTAACCTCACTGCCCGGAGCCCGTCTGGCGGCCGAACAGGCACCTGCCTAAGATTATGACGTCACATGTGCTGATAAGTACATAAGGTGGTAAGAAAAATGGGGTTATATGGGACATATGTAAACTCCTTGTTCAGACTACGTCGGACAGTTCAACACGCGTGTGTTACACCGTGTACTTGTGTGTGTTACACCGTATACTTGTGTGTCAGAATGCCGATGGGCAGTGGAAAACAGCCGAGACGATAGCCCGGCATACATGTACTTCAGAACAGTGATATTGTGTTGCAAGGATCGGTAGCTGTTCCCGGTCGCCAGGAAACGTAGGGTAATGGCGAGTTTTAGGCCTGCTGGCAAGGGCTGTCTGGCTCTGGATAGAATTAAACAGAAGTTTTACATACAGACTGTACTGTGATATCTAAATTTGCTGTTATTATAAAACATTATGGATACATTGAAATGTGTCAAGAAGTAGAGGGCATTCACCAAAAAAGCACTTGCTCCGGAATTTTCTCGATGGATGGGCCTACACGTTGTAGGGGGTCGTGAAACATCTATTTAAAGTCGCAATGATGGCAGGCAGTGTAGCGCTTATATATATATATACCGGCTTACAATATATACCGGCTTACCGGATCCCGCCAGGGACGCGCCAGGATCCTCCCTGGACCCCGCCAGGGACCTGACAGCTACCCGGCCGAACTGTAAGAGCCGGTCGGAACCCTACCGCAAGCCGCACGGGTCAAGACGGGAGACTGACCGGGCACCGGACGGGTCCCTGACAGAAACCGGCCGCCAAGGGGACCAAAAGTTTATGAATATTAATTAGAAGCCGCCGGCCGGAGCACAAGCAGGCCCCGACAGGAAGCCGTAAAGGAACATTTAATTGTGACCCTGACAGTCGGCGCGCGCGCTCGGCGTCATGACGCCGGCCGGCGTCTACACCGAGGACATGCCGAACGGGCGCCGTTTCAAATGTGACCCAAGCATTACTAATTTGGTGACTCGGCAGCAAATTTAAGATGGCGGGCTATTATAGCGATGTTCTCCCTACAATATCTTGGTTTCAAAGAATTTTAAGGGCTTATCCTGCCCTGCTAAACACCAAACTGCACTTATGCGGGCTTCTTTCACGACAGTAATAGTAGCCTGTATTTTTAATAGACCAAATAGCACGGCGAGGCTGGGAAACGGTGGAACCGGTGATCGCGGCGGCAAGTCAACAGATGAACCCAAATTAGTAAGGATCGTATGTTTCCGCACAATACAATAGAGTACTCAATACTTATTTTCACCTGGGTGAAGTGAGGAAAGTCGTGTAAAGGGCACAAGGGAACCTTTTGGTTCCGAGTGGAACCTTTTGGTTCCGAGTCTAGCACTTTGTCGTTACGCCACACGACCCCACAACTGTTTTTCTTCCCTCCCTCCCAACCAGACTCGAGTTTTAAGCTGGACCTGTCCGCCAAGCCGAGGAAAGAGCGCACAGCCTTCACCAAACAGCAGATCATGGAGCTGGAGAACGAGTTCCGCCACCACAACTACCTGACGCGGCTCCGCAGGTACGAGATCGCCGTCAAACTGGACCTGACCGAGCGGCAGGTGAGACAAACGTTTGTTTGTTTGTTTGTTTGTTTGTTTGTTTGTTTGTTTGTTTGTTTGTTTTATTCGGATCTCCATCAGTGCTCGTTACATTGACACTATTCTTCCTGGAATCCAAAATCAAACAAAATATACATAACATAACAAAAACTTAGAAAGACACCCGTTCGTTCGTTAACCATTTAATCAACTTATTCATTCCTGCATGTCTTCCTGAAGTCAATTAATCAATTAATTAATTTAGTCGGAAGACTGGGGGGGGGGCTACTTCCTCTCTTTGTTTCGTCGGTGAGACGAATGGTGAGACAAATGTCACGTTACGTTAAACTCTCCAAGGCCACACCAATTCAATTTGTTGGTTCTCGGATTCGCCTCTTCATTTTTTTTCTAATTTGCAAAAAAAAAAAAGATTCTGGTTCTGTATCAACTAAAAATGTTCATATTTTGCCCCCAACAGTCGAGGAAAGTCCCTTTATTCCTATAGCTAGTTGTTACAGCTTCTCCATCTATCAATGCAGTGGTTTGATTAAAAGTTCAAAATTCATCGTTTAAATTTTAACCCAGCCTTTTGTGTTGACTTCATGGCTCCTATTGTAGCATTTGGAGCTAAAGTAGGATGCATAGACTTGTTTTTATTCTTATTTTATTTCGCCCGGTCGCTTCATATTTTTCTGAACAAATCCGAGAACCAACGAATTAAATTGGTGTGACCTAAGCAAAGGTTTAGGCTTCAACTTGTTTTGACGTGTTTTTAGACGTTTTTGTCCGGTTTTCTTTCTTTTTGTACTGGTATTTCTTTTCGCCTGCTAAACGTATCAAACATTCTGAACTCTTTAGTTTTTTGCTTCGTAAGTCACTTCTTTCCAAGTAAAACAGTAAGAGCGGAAGAGGGTTATGTTTTCAGTCTACCGCGAGTATTGCTACAAGCGCAAAATCGTTTTCCAAACCTATAAGGCTGTTGTTAGGTTGATTTTTCCATATGAACATTTGTTATCTGAAAAATTTCTCAGTAACACTTACTGATATATAATTATGAATTTCATAACAACAAATAAGATGCTAGGTACAATTAATAGCTCGCTTTTCCTCAAGGGAGAAGGCTCTCAGGGCACGGTCACATTTCCAAGCCGGGGCCCGGCCGGGTTGTTTGCATGAACGAAAAAAAAAACAATTTGTATTAAAAAGAGTATACACAAATAGTGCACATGGTTGATTTTCTAAAACTTTTTTTGTGTTTTGCTGTCTTATATCATTATTTTCGTTCCATACGACTGCCCGGCCGGGCCCCGGGTTGGGAAATGTGACTAAGCAAAGGTTTAGGCTTCAACTTGTTTTGACGTGTTTTTAGACGTTTTTGTCCGGTTTTCTTTCTTTTTGTACTGGTCTTTCTTTTCGCCTGCTAAACGTATCAAACATTCTGAACTCTTTAGTTTTTTTACTTCGTACGTCACTTCTTTCCAAGTAAAACAGTAAGAGCGGAAGAGGGCTATGTTTTTAGTCTACCGCGAGTATTGCTACAAGCGCAAAATCGTTTTCCAAACCTATAAGGCTGTTGTTAGGTTGATTTTTCCAAATGAACATTTGTCATCTGAACATTTTTTAATAACGCTTATTGATATATAATTATGAATTTCATAACAACAGATAAGATGCTAGGTACAATAATAGCTCGCTTTTCCTCAAGGGAAAAGACACACAGGCTCTCAGGGCACGGTCACATTTCCAAGCCGGGGCCCGGCCGGGTTGTTTGCGTGAACGAAAAATAAACAATTTGTATTAAGAGTATACACAAATAGTGCTCGTGGTAAATCTTCTAAAACTTTTTTTGTGTTTTGCTGTCTTGTATCATAATTTTCGTTTCATATGACTGCCCGGCCGGGCCCCGGGTTGGGAAATGTGACCACGCCTTCACAGGGAAAAGAACATGCTTGTAATTCGTAGCGACGTTCCAACCAGGACAGACATGCTTACTAAAATTGAGATGACAACAGGAATGGGGAGTCATGACATCCAGTCAATGTTGATATCATTGTTTTCGCGTTTTGGGACCGCCCCATAGACACGCTACGGAGTTAACATTGCTGGTTTTATCCGCCGCATACCAGTGGCTAAATTTCTCCCACAATGTTGTGATCCAAGTGAGTTTGGAGTTTACAAACTAGTACTGCAAGAATCTTGGCATGCTATTACTAGTACTAAAAATTTCATTCTTTGTGTTTGTAACTTGTTGTGTGTGACAGACAAAAACGCAATGTTCCTTGATATTTGATTAACTTTCAAAAATACATGTACATGGACTAAAGATTTTAAACTGGAATTGGTAGAACGTTTATCAAGACTTTCCAAATTTAAGTTAATGGTACAAAGACATTTTTAACATTATGATAAATTGAAATATCCGGCGTACATAGCTTGAATGCTTTCACGTGCATTTGTGTATTCGGGTTCACATATTAAAGATGCCAGCTGGTTATAACTTCTGAGCGTTACCTTTTTATAACCTAACTAAATTCCATACGCGTTACGCGGCTAGCAAGGAATAGCCTTCACTAAGTTAGCAATGTAAGAGTATGTGAGTGTTTCCGCTTTCTGTTTGGTCACAAGTATGTTGAACTTCGTACATGTATGCCACAGTATTACCACTGTACATGTTTTGTCGCTTTTGAAGTAAATAATCTGTTCGTAGATTAAGAATGGAAAGCGTTTTTTTTTTGTTGCGCTATGATCAAGATTGCTTGTAAATTGTAGCGTTAGCAGGCGTAGAGCTCCTTGTAAAAAAGCAAATGCCAACAGTAGTTGGAGCCTAGCCTCTATCAGGCTTCGGCAGGCGGCTAGAAAGAGTAGAAATTAGCCAAATAGAGAGATAACATGCCGAGGGAGTTGGTCCGCTAGAGAGTACATTTTGCCGCAACCAGGGCCAAGGACAGAAGTTTAGGTGTAAAAAACTTTCAAGATGTAACTGCGCAAATGACACCTCTTTAAATCTCTTGTTCAACTTTGACTTAAAGATCATCATTCAAACGTTTTGAAGTACAGAAAAGATGTATTTATATTTAACTAACACTGCCATGGATGTGGAAGTTATTAGCAAAACAAAGGTTATAATAATTCAATTATCCGTATCTCAAATCAATTGGAACCAGATTGAAAGACTTCTAATTTGCCCAGATTAGTTCTTGACCTTGTGGCTTCAAAGGTCAGCAAGATTAAGGGATTGGATGGCTGGACGACACGAAGATTCGTGTGACCTTCTAATCCGAAAGGTCATAGAAGCTGTGATGGACAGACTGTCACGGTTTGTGGACTCTAACGTTACACCAATTCGTCACGTCCACGCCTATAGTGTTGATACTCTGTCACAAATTCGTCACCGTCTTACCTTTTACAATTATTGTCTCTGGTCTTATTCGGACCATAAAGACAACAATCTCCGACCTAATTTTTCCCTTTTTGTGTGAGCAGGAGATATTTTTGCCGCTACTGTCGCTCAAAATAAACAGAACTTAAGGACATGGGGGTATACCCAGATTATTGTTGTACCCATATCCGTCTTTGTACACAGATATAAACACAGACAGAGATGCATCTGAAAAGGAAACTAGGGCTTCTTCGTTATCTACTCTATCTAGAACACATAAGATGTAAGATATTTATTCATTTCTTCCTCAAACATACATTGACAGGGAATTACACACATATACATGCCTATATAGTATAATATACGCTAAATTACGTAGGTTTGTAACAAAACATTGTGCGTACTATATGTGCTGAATATCACATGTGCATGTGACTGACAAAAATGCATAATATAGTAACAGACACTAAACAAAGATCCGAGCTCACAGGCTGATGGTTGGGCTAGGAAATAGAGTTATTATAGAGTCTAACTGCAGTGTACAGGAATGACTGTTACACATGTCGGTAAATACATCGCTATAGTTCGTAGAATCCATGTACTTGTGGAAGCATCATTAAAATTTGGGCAGTATTCAGTGTTTCTTTATTCCATCGTTATCTTATCTTGTTTAGGATCTGACAGATTAACATTGAGGTTGACCCTGGCACTCCAGAAATCTCTCAATAAGAAAACAAACTCGACATCATAACTGGGGTGTATTATATGGTCTTTTATGCGGTGAATACAGTGCATTAAGGGTGGTGAATGACAAGATATCGCTGACACTTTCGGCTTTGACTTCTATCTTTACACAGTTTTCTAAGACAGGTGGCTTCTTTCGTTCTCGCCACAATGTCTAGCTACAGCAGGTCCAATTCAGCCTGTATCACCCATATCCATATGCCTCTGTCAATCATGCCTTACACAGACCCCATAAATATTTTCATCACTTTTATGTGACAAAGAGGTCGTCGGTTCTCCTGTCATGGCTTGGTTTGGGCGAGGGAATCCGTCGGGCCCCCTCTGAGCTGCTCAGACATGCGCGGCATTCATAACACAGGGCACATCAACAATGACACTGTCTATCTTCATTTGGGACGCGAGGGTCTCCTCTTCCAATTTTCATCTCCAATTTTCTTTCACATCAAACCGCCCCATACGTGTATCTTCTCTTTTAATTTTGCATCAGCACTGAGTGACTCTTTCTGTTGGGGTCTATATATCCATGATAATTGGTATCAGGTTATGATTTATGATCACATAACTCGTTCCATCACACTGTGCAAACAGTCTGTGTCGCCCGTGCGCATTTTTCGAGGTATGTAGGAGGGAAGCCTCGCCATGTATGGTTGATGTTGGTCTGTAAATACATCCAGTCCGGTTTAGACTTGTCATGTTTGTCGGTAGTGGGCAAAACAATTCTTAGGAGAGACCTCAAGTTGTGCTCCGCGCTATTAAAGTTGCATATGCTACTAAAATCCCATTGAAACCCACATCAAAATCTAAACGTTGCAACATAGTGGGGGCATCACTGACAATGACAATAAGGACATTATTTATACCTCTGAATTATATCAAATGCATTTATGTCGACTGTCGCATTTTCCTAGTCTTTTTGTATTCAGCTAATTTTTTTGAAGGGTGTGTGTTCCCTTTCAAGTTTCATATCCAATCATTGTTTTGCTGATAGTGGTCGAAATGCATGAGTTGAGATAGTGGCTTCTTTTGTTCTTTTAATAGCCTCCTTCGCAGTCTTGTTGGGCGTCGGCGTTATTTTTTCTCTGAGCGACGCGAGTAATATGCGGCCGCGAGGGACGATTTGCTGCCGAGGGAGTTTTTGCCACGG